CTTGGAAGTATTAATATCTGCTTCTGCTGCTGCATCGCTTCAGTCGTGTCCGACTCTGTGTGACCCCATGGACTGCAGCCCGCCAGGCTCCTCTCTCCTTGGGATTCTCCAGGCAAGGCTACTAGAGGGGGTTGCCATTTCCTCCTCCAGGGGATCCTCTCAACCCAGGGATCGAACCTGGGTCTCCTGCATTGCAGGCAGATTCTTTACTGCTGAGCCACCAGGGAAGCCCAGTAATATCTACTTTCTTTCTCTTGACTTAAGAGTTTTATCTATGACATCAAATCCCATATTAAATAGTAGTGATTTAGAATGGGTCTGTGTTTTGCTTTGCCAGAACAGTGCAGGTATAAATGGTTGTCCCAAGAAAAGCCACTGTCTCAGTACAATGAATTCTTGTACTTTATTTAATTCTCAGAAAATGTGCTGAGAAAAACTGAAAATGAAAAATTTCATTATCAGTTTAGAATTGTGGATTTATGGAGTACATCTTTCATTTCTGATTTAATGGGAATTCTGACATTTTTCTGTTAGTATGTTTGTCATAGGTTTATAATACAAATTTTTCATCTTACAAAATTTTCCTTTTATTTTTAGTTGTTTTATTTTAATCAGAAATTGTTTACTTGATCAAATGTTTCTATCTTATCTACTAATTACATTTTAATGTAGCAAGCTATATTAATTGATTTCCTAACACTGAGCATTTAAAATCCTAAACTGTACTTAGTCATGAAGTATTATTAGTTTATTAAATTTCAAAATTTGATGTATGAATAGTTTATATGGGATTTTAAGACTGATGTTTATGGGAATAGTTTATAACTTTCTTCATGTCCTTGCTTGTCTGATTTGTGTACCAAAGTTATAAAAGCCTCATAAAATGAGCTATATATATTTCCATGTATATCCATATTCTATATCATTATGAAACTAAAATGTTTAAGCATATTACACTTAGAGTTAAATATAATTTTTTTTCCATTTATTTTTATTAGTTGGAGGCTAATTACTTTACAATATTGTAGTGGTTTTTGTCATACATTGACATGAATCAGCCATGGATTTACATGTATTCCCCATCCCGATCCCCCCTCCCACCTCCCTCTCCACCCGATCCCTCTGGGTCTTCCCAGTGCACCAGGCCCGAGCACTTGTCTCATGCATCCAGCCTGGGCTGGTGATCTGTTTCACCCTAGATAATATACATGTTTCGGTGCTGTTCTCTCGAAACATCCCACCCTCGCTTTCTCCCACAAGAGTTAAATATTTTTAAATTCCTTTTCATGATGCTCTATTATTATTGGTTTATCTGCATTTTTACTTGTTTTTGTTTCAATTTGATAATTTATATTTTTATAGAATATTATTTCATCTACATTTTCAAATTTATTAATTGAAAACAAAGTTTTACTTAGTGCTTTCTTTTGCATATCATCTATATGTTTAGCTGTGTTTCTTTTCTCACAATAGTAATTGTGGTTTCTTTTTTACTTGATTAAGCTTGACAGATGTTTGTCAGTGTTGGTCTTTACAAGTTAAAAGACTTTGGTTCTAATGATCACTTGAATTTTTTGTTAGATGTTTGTTTTCTTGTATTAATTTCAATTTATTCAATGTTTTTTATATTTTCTTTGTTTTTTTATTGTTTATTTTTCAACTTCTTCAACTGAATGTCTAGTTAATTTACTTTTAGTTAATTTTTTAATGTTTACATTTAGAGTAAAACATTTTCTTTAGAGTACTGTGTGCAGGGTTTTCAATAACTTCATTTCTATGTAAGATATGCTTTTAGTTAAGTTTTCCTCTTCAACCAAAATTGGTTTTAGAAGAGAGATCCCAAGTAATTTTTTTGGGTATCACCTTTTTTTTAAGTCACAATTTTATGACTTTTAGTTGGTGAATATAGTCTATGTGATTTTTGCCTTTTGGAATGTGTTAAGGTCTTTTTTGTGATCAAATTTAAGGTTAATGTTTATGAATGTTTCATGAAACATTCATGAAAACAATATCTATTCTCTGTTAAATAGGTATAAAGTGCTAAATAAATTTGATTATTCATTGTTTTGTTACTTGATTCCTTTAAATTTTGTTTTATTTTTTTGACTTCTTGATGTATTTGTGTTTTAAGTATATTAAAGAGGTCCTTTTTGATTGTGGAATTTGTGTGTGTGTGTATGTTTCTATTAGTCTTTACTTTGTATGTTTTAAAACCATATTTTAAAGCACATATTGGTCCATGCTTATTCTATACTCTGAGTATATGTTCACCAATTTAAAATTGGCCATTTTGAAAAATTTTAACTTGTATTACTTCTTACCAGACATCAATATTCCTACACCTACTTTTGTGTATTTTGCACTTTGCTCTCTGTGTTTTGCATATACCAGGGCTAGGTTAACTGATAGTGTTGCTTCAGCAAGTAACATCGCTGAGTAACACAACTGCATTATTCTTTTTTAGGGCCTCTCAGGTTCCTTTAATTTATTCAGACTTTTAGTCTATTTAGTAGCCTAGTCATTCTTACTAGCATTTTCCTAGGGTTCCTGACCACCACTTTATCGGCTAGAAATGGTTATATCTTAACCTTCTCTTATTTCTTAAAGTTAAATTTGGTGGTTTTTGTTACTATGCAAAGTACAAGAAAGTATTCTTGCTCTCATACTGACTGAATAGAACTAGTCAGGATAGTCCCGTGCTTTTGTCGCTGACTTGTCCTGGATTATTAGAGTGGGTATTTGCAATCCCAGAATAAGACCTTTTCTCTCTGTATACATTTAGAGTGTCCCATGCCTTCTTGAAGAGCAGGGTGAATGTAGTAGGACTAGTGATATGACTTGAGCTCTTTAGAGAGAGAAAGCATATGACAGAGAGTACCCCAGCATACAGGGAAGTAAGAGGAGGAAATCATGAACATGTTGGAGTAGAAGCACATTAGTATGGTACGTGTGTTAGATGTGGCCATGTAATTTTGACTACTTGGGTAAATTAGAAAACATGTGATAAGAGTTTCCAAAATAAGTTCTGGATAATACTCCCATAGCCTTTTACTGCTCTTGGAACTGCTACTATTTCATGTATGGCTTCATCTGAGGCTGGTAGAGTTAAGGAAACCATCCAACATGTTGATTGAAAAAGAAAAAGAAAATCTTCTGCTTGACGGCTGGGAGTAAGTTAAAGTGCTGGTAGAGCTCTGAGAAATCAGAAGACAGGAGGAAAGTGTATAATAAAATGAAGAAAGGCATTCCATGATTCAGTAGAATGGATCTGAACGTGATGATAGAATCTATGTGTTTTCTTCTCTGAAATCCTTAAGAGATCATCATGGAAATAGCAATTAATTTTCAAGATTGAAAGAAAAAGTTGTCTACAAATTATAAATTGTATATCATAGCATTTTTGACATTCATTCTATGAAGTTCTACTCTGAGGAGACTACTCATAAAAAAATAAAAGTAAAAATACTTTCAAGGTTAATGCGTATTAGCATATTTAAAGAAGAGTGGCAAATTCTGAGGTAAATGCAGCCATTAAACTTGGAGTTATTATGATTTCCAAACATTTAAAACTCTAAAAACTATTACTACTTAGAAGTTCAGAAAAGCCAATTTATATGTTAAATTATAATTTTCATGGACATATAATTCATATATTATATAACATCTGTCCTGTTACAGAAACATGCTAGTTACGTAAGGCTTCACTTTATGTCAATGAGACAAAATACAAGTTATATATAAATAAGCCAAATGTGTCTGGTCTATATACCATATATTTGTATAAATGTTCATACAAAAAGACTGACATGTCATGACAAAAATGAGTGTGTTTGATCTGGAGTTAAAGCTAACTTAAATTATTTATTCTTGTGGAGGTTCAGCTAAGTTTTCCTGTAATACTTTTTGTTTGTCTAAACGTGTCTAAACATGGTCAGGAAACCTGAGTCTAAAGTTTTCTTCTTAAAACTTACTATTGAAATTATTCTTAAAAAATAGTGTAGTAACTGATTTCATATTTCAAAAGACTTTGAGGAAAAAAATGAAGTTACTGTGTTTTTAAGGGGATAATTTCATTAATATAATCCTATTTACCTACCTATCTGGGGCTTCCATAGTGACTCAGCAGTAAAGAATCCACCTGCAGTGAAGGAGCTGTGGGAGACACCAGTTCGAACCGTTGATCAAGAAGATCCCCTGGAGGAGGGCATGGCAACTCACTTCAGTGTTCTTGCCTGGAGAATCCCAAGGCAAGAAGAGCCTGGCAGGCTAAGGTTCATAGCATGACAAAGAGCTGGACACAAATGAAGTGACTTAGCACGCACCTATCTATCTAGCTAGCTACCATAAAAAAGTAAATGTTTGGGAACTGTTAATTTTTACAAACTGATCATTTACATACTATACCCCAAAACTGGCTAGCATTCAGCATAGACTATAACAGAAGAAAATGTTCTTTCTGTGGTGCTTAAGATCAATTTACTAAGTCATCCTAGATGGACAGTTCCAACCTCCATAGGCTTTCCCATGCAATGATATATGCCTTACGTTGGACAAGAATTTGTTACTGCTCCACGAGTAATATTGGACTTAACATATCTAAGCTTCCTGCTGGATATTAACTGTATAAAAAACACTATGTTGCCATTGATAGCTATCACCTATTAAGCATTTACCACATACCAGGAATGCTGGAAATGAAATAAACCTCACAGGTTATTGTTACTCATGTCTGCATTTAAATAATGAGCTGAGTTATAGAGATGTCAAGGTTATTCATCCAAGATCATATGGGACAGGGCAGTAGAAAGTGACTTTTAATCCTATTTAATGCTATTTCTACTGCATCATCTGGTTTTATCTGACCTCCCGTGATTCTATGGAGTCTTACAAAACTCTTTTGATCTTTAGGAGATAATTTTCTGTATGGAGTCCAGGTATTTCATATCAACCTTAAGTTCACATAAACATATGCCCATTTGGATTACTTAGAAGAGACTGAATTAGAGAGTCTGACAAAAAAAAAGATTTTCTTTTGTTAAGTTCAAACATAGTTTGTATCAACTTATACATGTATAAGAATAAATGTGTATATACATATTAAATGTGTACAAATAATACAGGGGAGTAGAAAGAAGATATATTTTTAAAATTTACATTGTCTTTCTTTTCCATACATCATTCATCTAGTCTACATTATGGTTTTAGGTTTTAGCTAATTTGTGTTCAGGGAGTGTAAATTTGCTTAAGAATCTATCAAAATAAAAAGTGATTTAATAAGTAATTTTTTTCCAGAAAAATTATATAGATATGCCCATACATACACACATAAACATAAACATACACATAGAAAACTATATAGATTCGAAAATAAAATATCTATGTTGATGTGTCTAAGTCTGTGTACATACGCAGACACATATATGTATATATATACACACACATAATCTATATTATGTTACTGTGATTATATTATGTTTGTGATATTACTTCTATCAACACAGCTAACTGTGGAACTACACCTATAATTTGTATTGGTATTTTCAGACACACACGAGACTTTTATTCCCTACATGCTTCCTTGTTTAAACATAAGTATTTATTTATGTCTTGAAGGTATTTGCAGGCGCCTTTGGGGACAGCGTCTCTGGTGGTTTTGTGCTTAGTCTACATTTACATTTTAATCTACTGTCTGCAGGCTTCTTTGTAAACCCCATAACTCAAATGTGTAGATCATTCAGAATTTAAGGTGAATTAATAGTATGGCTCTTTGGGTCACAGAAAACACTATTACGACAACAATCTAAACATTTAAGGGGAAGAATCTTAAAGTCATATCATAGTTTCTTTTTTAATATTTTTCAAAAAGTAACTGACTTCACAAATACCAGTGCTAACATGATTTAGACAACTGAGAACAGGCAAGTGTATCTTAAAGTACTAAAATAAAACACATTTATACAAGTACAAAGCAAAGCAATGCTGATAGAAATGTTAAACTTTATGAAAAAATCATTTGCAATTCACATCAAAATAATTTAACATTCTCTATCGTTTTAATAGCACAAGCTGCAACAACAGAAAAAAAAAAAAAAAGAAAATGAAAAACATACACGCACACCATCTTAAAACCAAACCAGTTAAAGTGCAGAAAAAAGTAAGTACAGCACTTGTAGCCCACACAAATCTTTTAGGATTGGCACCATCTCTCTAAAACATCTATATTCTATATAGATTTCTAATTACAACACCACCAGCAGCTGCCATTGAATTCTAGAAATACACACAATATACATAGTATATTTGTTCACATTGGGAAGATCAGTGAATTCAGCCAACTATATTATACATGCCTCATTCTTCAACAGATAGCAGAGCATCTCTCAGGCTTCAGACCCTCTTTAAAGTGAATTCCAACTTATCTTTACAGTTTTCACTGATCTGTATATTTTTCACAGTATAAAATTGTAAATGGTAACTATTGAGATTCAGACAGCTTGAGGGTTATTAATAAGCTGTGGCTAAATGTGAACTCAGGTAATAACCTTTGAAGTCTCCGAAACACGTACATTTTGCTGGGAGAGTAGCACAGGAAATTTTTTTTTTTAAGAGTTTTATTCCTGGTTTGGAAGTCACAGAATTGCAGCAGAGCCATTATACAATTCATTGAGAGTCAGTGATAGTTCCTAGTCTTTCTGATCACATGCTGGTAACAGCAGAAACTTGGGAAAGACTGTTACTGACAAGGATTAGCACATTCAGGGGTCTGCTTTTTTCTCTTTGCTTCAGTCAAATCTCACATGGTTTTTCTTTCCACACACCCTCTCTGTTCCCCACCCCTAACCCAGAGAGGTGGTTCTGCTTCTTCGCAGGGCAGACACGGTCTTCTCGGGCGGTCCCCACTGCTTCCCACAATAGAGAATGCGTGGACTGCTCAGATAGTCTGTTCAACTTGATTGAACCAGGTCTTCTCTTTTTAATCCTGGGACCAAACTGTCCTTATGGTCGCTTTTCTGAAACTCAGCATTTCACTGTACTTTCCCCTTCCCTTGAGTCATGCTGGTCCCACCTGAATTACCACTGGGCACCAGGAACAGATTGTTTTCTAGGAAATTCAATGAAAATAGGTACTCAAATGAATTGTGAAGTTCATATCCTAGCCCTAGAATGAATATTCAGTTCTCTTTTATACTGTAGATTTAACTTGGAACCTGGTATTAGAATTGGCAAAGAGACAGAGTTAGTATCATTCCAAAATAAAAGATCCCAAGAATGCATTACCAATAATATTATATATTATACAATGTATTGAATGAAGTGGCAAAGGGTTATATAAATACACAGAAAAATACCTCTGGTTCTTCTCTAATTAGATAAATTATTTTTCTTATGTTGACTATTAATTCATATAGAATTATATGATGGCAATTTATTCACATTAAATTTTAATTTCTAATGAATTTTCTCATATGGTAGTATACTTTTAAAGGAAATATGTTACTAAAAAAATAGAAAATGAATTTGATCATGGAGAAAGTTTTAAAAATGTTTTCCTGTTGGTCAACACAGTGAAACTTGTATTGAGAAAACAGTGGAAACCAATATAAGGGTTCTTTGAAACAAATTTAAAAATTTAGATAGAGCATACTTAGGAAGGTTTCAATGCCTAAGAAATCAAGACAGTAACCCCCAGGTGAATGCCACCCTTTTGATGAGAATCCAGGGATATTAATATTTACTTCAAAATATTTACATTTGTTTTTCAAGTAGAGGCAGACATTTGCTTTCAATGAAACCACAAAACTTAGCTAGATTGACTGTTTCAAGAGTCTCATAATATGTGGGAACAAGGGGCTCCAACGATGCTATTTTCAAACTTGCAAGGGAGGTTTGATTTTTTAAAAAATTATATTTTAGTAAATTAATGTTAGCTTTTAATGTTTTATATTGGGAGATTTGATTTAATATAATTTAATACGAGAATAGTTATCAGGAAAGGTAAAACAGTGTATCATAGGGTTTAAAAGTAGAGAATGATAAATTATGCTAATAGATATATTTTCATTTCTCAATTCCGTCTTTTAAGTAGATGTGAAATAAAAAATACCAAATAAGGATATTGAGCAAAAGGAAAAAGGTTTTTATTTATTTTTCTCTCTGCTAAAAATATACTTCTGCCTCACAGCAAATCTTTCTCATAAGGCTATCTTTAGTATAAGGCTGGGTCAACTGGACTTTAAATTTATAGGATACATCCTCCTTTTATTACTATCCTTATTTAAAAATCAGAAACATTTGGCACCTGAGGATAGCTGTAATGGGAGGAAGAAAGAGATGACGGTGGATGCAGGCCTTGAGCTGAATTCTATCTACAGGAGCCTATCAGAGCACAGATATGTCTACTATAACTTTAAACCTCTTTTCTGCAGTTTTTAAAAAGTGACAGTAAGTATGAAGTGCACAAAATTATATTCATAATTATTTTAAAAAGGAAAATATTAATAATTGCTTTGCCTCTTTTTGGAATGGCTAAGAAAGATTGTGTGGTTTGTATCTGTTAAGGTTCCTCTGTTTTAGTTTTCTGTATTGCTTTGAAAAATCTACATGTGTCATAGTTCATAGCTGCCCTGTTTAAGCAGCCAAGAAAAGTTAAAATCACTGCTCACTGGCATAGCTAAATCTCTGCTAAGCCGACTTGACAGTTGAAAGTCTCCAGTGTATTAAGATTGTGTTAATTTTCTGAACAGTCCCTCCAATCACGACAGTGTCTTCATCGGGTCTACGGACCACTCTTCCAGTGGTGGGACTTAAAAAGAACAGAGGAGCTCTTTGTGCATCAGGTTCTCAAAAGAAAGGAATGAAGAAGCCCAAATGCATATTTTAAATATTTTAGCTGGCAATGCATTCATAATGAGTGGCCACATTTCATGAAAGAGATAGCCAAGCTGGAGCTCAAGAATTATTATTAGAAAGAGAATTTCCAGCTACACAACGCACCCCAGTGAGGGAATTACAAAACAGTATTCCAGAAAATATTTTTTGCTACTCCAGTATTGATTGGCAACATGGTGAAATAGTCAAGAAATCTTCCACTGGTTTTCTTGGTTAATGGAGGTGAACTGAAATAACTAGGTGGAATCCAGGATGCAGGCTTTTGGAAGAGGAGGTCACAACCAAATTGGAAAGTGTCTGGTAAAAGCCCTACATACATCAGCGTGGCCCTCATCACACAGTTGCATGTTGCCCATGGGACACACTCATATCAACGCCTCAGCAAATACTGGGCCCAAGTCTGCTTTCCAAGGTCTTAAAGGAAAGAAAAAGGAAAAAAAAAAAAAGTAGAGAAAGGTTGACGTTTTGGTCCCAGATTTTGAGTTTGTTAGAAAATGTACATTCATGTTTGGTGAATCAAAGAATCTTCTGGGAAAAGAATTAAAGTAAACAAACAAAAAAAATTTTTTTTTACAGTTGCTTATTAACTATGCCTTTTCAACCCTCCGTTTTGCTGTTTCACACTCCTTGCTTCCCTAGAGCAAAGCACTTGGGATGTAACTGGTTCAACAGACTCCTCGTGAGCCCTCAAAAGTAGAAGCGGTGTTTCTTAAAAGCCCATGTTTTCTAAGGCCACTAGAAGAAAATCTGCCGAAAGATTTGTGGTTGGTGTCTTCGTCGGTGGATGGTAGATAGCACTCTTGATCTCGTTTCCACTGTGGGTGTACGCGATGTCTTCCACCTCGGGGTCTTAAGCAGGCGCCCAGGCCTGTCCTTGCTGTCTGTGGGGACACCGGAGGGTCTCGGCTCCTGGGGGCGGCGGGGGGGACCCCAACGTGGTTTCCCAGGACATTCACAAGGACGAGGAGCTCTGGGTGTAATCTCTGATGATAAGCGTGTCGTACTTGGGAGACGACGGGATACACAGGGCCGACTCGGACACCGGGGAGTTGGGGGTGGTGCTCCCAGAATCCACCGAGTCCCTGAAGGGGGACGGCGGCGTGAGCGCCACCAGCTCCTCCAGGTCCGCCTTGCCGGCCGCAGCCTCGGGCCCGGCCGCCGCTGCCGAGGGGGAAGGCTCCCGGGCGGCGCCCTCCGCCGGCGGGGCCTCGGCGGCGGGGGGCGGCTGGATCTCGGCGAACGTGGTCATCACGGCGGCGGGCAGCTGCATCTCCGTGGGGATCAGGTAGGCCGAGCAGAGCGCGGCGCCCGCGCCGGGCGCCCCCGGGGCGGCCAGCATCATGGAGTTGAGCTCGCTGATGTTGGCCGTGAAGCGGGTCACCACGCTGCTGATCTGCTCCAGCAGCGAGCCCTGCGACGAGCTGCTGCGCGCCGCGGGCTCGGAGCGCAGCGAGCGCGCGTCCTCGTCGTCGGGGCAGCCGCCCGCGCGCCGGCTCAGCGTGCTGATGGTCGCCGCCGCCCGCGCCCCCCACGCCGCGGCCCTCCGTGCTCTTGGGGAAGGGCTTGATGACGGCCGTCTGGTTGGGGTTCTCCTTCTTGTTGATGTGCACCGACAGCCTCTGCCACAGGTGCTGCCCGCGGCTGCTCTTCTCGTTCTGCGCCCAAGTGACCGACTTGCCGTTGGAGCTGCGGAGAGAAGGCAGAGCAGAGGTGACTGCGCGCTCCCCCGTGGTGGTGGTGGGGCTGGGGGCCTGTGGGACTCGGACTGGGGACAGGAGGCATCCGAGGACACCAGGGCAAGAGATCTGGGAAGGGGCTTTTGCTGCCTTTGAGTTCAAGGCTGCTTTCTTGTCTCTGGCCTTCCGTTCATCATTACCGCGAAAGGATGTCGAAGGGGATACTAGGAAGGTTAAAGGGGTTCTTCATGGGAACCCTGGAGGAGGAAATGGCAACCCACTCCAGTTTTCTTGCCCGGGAAATCCCATGGACCGAGGAGCCTGGCGGGCCGCAGACCACCGGCTCGGAAAACCATCCAAGAGGACTTGGCCACTGAACAATATTGTCAGACCCGCCGTAGTTCTAGCCTAGCCGGGAGTGTAGCAGTTGGTTTAGCTGCAAACCTGGAAGCAAGGGCTTGCAGTATTAGTATTGTGCTTGTTTGTAGACGTGCCCGGTACACAGCCCGGGCGTCCTAAAGTGGGGAGCCTCTGAAAGGAAACGTTAGAACTGGGAGCACCCCTCAACCTGATCATCAGAGGGGACCGTAGAGGTAGGAGTCGGGGGTCACCAGGAAGGAGATAGTGCTTTCAATTCAGTTTTTATTCTGCAGGCCAGTGGTTGGTGCATTTAACTAGGGTTTACTGTAAGAACTCCTGACTGGGAACACAGTTTTACTTAGTCTGACTTATGGGGTGGAAAATACAAATTCAGTGAACAGGTACACTGATTTATAATTAGAACTTTTTTTTTAAACTCCTAGAAACTTTCCTCACACATTTATTTTTAGGCCTAAAAGTTGAATAATAATTCTGCCAGGGAGCATGCAGTATTATTGCCCTTGGCAGCTGGCATACTGTGTTCAAATTAGGGTCCTGATGAGTATTGCCTGACTGACATGGTTTCTTAGAGCCTTTCTCCTGCCTCTCTTTCCCAAGTAGTCCTTTCTGGTCTCCCCTCTGGGAACTGAAATCTGCTCTGCTGAAAAAAGCCTCTAATGAGTTGATGCTTCAGCCTTACAGACAGACAGCTTGTACCCTCCTTCCCTCTAAAAAAAAAAAAAAGAGAGACAACTGCCTCTCCGAACAGACTTTCTATCAAAAAGTTCACCTATGTTCAGAGGATGTGGCCTGACCTTCAGGGAGGTGATATGGAGAGATCCTGGTGTGATTTACCCCCAGGAAGGAATGTGAGCGCTCTGTAACTAGGGGGTCTGTTATGTCCAGACAGCTCTGTTCTAGGTGCTGTGGACCTAACAGATAGCCCCAGGCAGTCTCTAAACAAAGGCTTTAGCCACCAGATTTGATTATCTCAGCTGGTGGTTATTAAACTTAATAGCATATAGGACTCACCTGTGGTATTTGTCATATACCCGGGCGGGACCCCAGAGATTCTGATTGTCTAGATTGGGTTCCATGAATCCATGCATTTGACAAGCACTCTGCTTCCCTAAAGTGATTCTGCAGCTGGTGTTTCACAGACTAAGAAACTCTAACAAGAAGTTATTCTTTTTCTCTGAGTTCCTGTTGTTCCATTGGCCTCTTGGCTGAAGGGCTGGCCGGCCTTTGCCACCGAATTGTGTTTGGAGCCCAGCTGCCTTGGGACTGCCGACTGCAACTTTGAGAGCCTCTCTTGCTTGAGACGTCCACTCCGTTGATAACAGACCACTGTTTTTACAGCCCCTATGACAAGCATACTTCCTGCCTCTTTGCCACACTGCTTCCCATGTCTTCATCTGTCCCTTTCCACTCTGTGGTCTTCCTGTTTTTTCTCTTTCTACTGAAATCCCAGTCCATTTAATCTAGCCTGTATTTTGCCACCTGGTGTCCTTCAAAATTCCGGAATATGAGATATCCTCCCCACCCTGCCCCAATGGACATTATTTCCAAGTATAGAAGGGACCCTGCTAACCTGTAAACTTTCCAGAGAGTTTCAGGTTTTCTTTTTTTTTTCATTAACCTGACCTGCCACCCTTTATGTTTTCAGTGCCTCACTTTTCTTCTTCCTAAGTGTTCACTAACTTCTAGAACATGGCACAGGAGAAATGGGCCAAACGATGCATGGGATTTGATTGGGAACACGGTTGCCAGCAACCCCGTTTCTCTCCTGCTGGCAGGATATGAAATAGACAAGTCTGGAGGGACAGTTAGTCTTTCAGGTAACTGAGGCCGCTTTTGCTACAAAGCTCAGGTTAGAAGCTAGAAGTGTAACTGGATTCACTCTACCAAGCTTTACACTGGGGAAGCTCTTGCCCCCAGACCACAGAGGTTTTGATGGAACGTAACCCTAACAGTCCTGGGTGTTCATTGGAAGGACCGATGCTGAAGCTGAAACTCCAATCCTTTGGCCACCTCATGCGAAGAGTTGACTCACTGGAAAAGACCCTGATGCCGGGAGGGATTGGGGGCAGGAGGAGAAGGGGACGACAGAGGATGAGATGGCTGGATGGCATCACCGACTCAATGACATGAGTTTGAGTAAACTCTGGGAGTTGGTGATGGATAGGGAGGCCTGGCGTGCTGCAATTCATGGGGTCACAAAGAGTCGGACACAACTGAGCGACTGAACTGAACCCTAACAGTGGCAGTCACTAGAATCCCAGGTAGTCAGGCTCCAAGACACCAGAGCAGGTGAAAAACCTTTGGGTGAATGTGTGGGAAGGAAACAGTCCCAACCAAGTGTAGGAAAAGAGCAGATTAGCCAAGATGGGATGGTCAGGCTCTCTCGCCCCACTGCGCGTTTGGTAAGTAATGGTTATGTATCAGCTGCGCTCACTTAGGGCACTGTGCGTGTGCCTCAGGAGGCAGTCACTTGCCCACAGGCTGCTTTTTTTGTGTAGGTATATAGAAAGTGAAAGGGAAGTCGTGTCAGACTCTCTGCTCCCCATGGGAGCATGGTAGCCCACCAAGCTCCTCCGTCCATGGGATTTTCCAGGCAAGGGTACTGGAGTGGGTTGCCATGCCCTTCTCCAGGGGATCGTCCTGATCCAGGGATGGAACCCTGGTCTCCCACATTGTAGGCAGACGCTTTACCACCTGAGCCGCCAGGGAAGCCCCAAGGTGTATATAAGCTCCACCTTAAGAAGCCCTTGGGGCCGTGTTAGGGCTGCGCTATGGCTGTGTTAGGCTGGTGAGGCCGCGGAAGGGCTGTGTCTGCTGGGTCAACCAGGAGAGAATACAGCGTGTTTGCTGCTGCTACAGCCGCAGTGCGTGCACCCAGAGAATAAACGTGTCTGCAGTTCCTCTGGCTCCTCGCATTTTCTTCCAGCCTCTTAGCTCGCGCCTTGCTCACCACGGGTTCAGTGAACAGTGCAAAGAGTGTGATCAGCGAGACGGCTGGCATGGCCGGCAGGATCGGCCAGACACCAGGCCACCTGCGCAGGGGACCGCCGCCTTTCCTGGCCGTGTCTCTGCTCCCAGAGTGGGGGCCTGTGGTCACACAGGAGAGAGTGCAGCAGGCAATCTGAATAACAGTGGAAATGGACACAGGAGACGCCGGAGACACAGAGTCACTGACTGGACACTTCATTGCCTTTCTTGGGTCATGGGGTATTTTTTTTTCCTGCAAAGCACATAGGAATTAAGAGGAAGCCGACCCTACGACATTAATCAGTTTACTAGTAGAATGTGGTTTCCATGACCTTATCTGCCTTGTTCTTTGGCACACAGCAAGATCTTAACGGTTTGATGGAAGATTAGGATTTTTAAGCCAACAGGGCCGTTGTGTGGTGTCCTGGAAAGTACAGTGGACAAAGGATTCTAAAATCAGTGTTCTAATTCTGGATCTGTCATTCTGGATGCTTACAAAATAATAATCTCCTTAAGTCTCAATAAAAAAGCAGGTGGTGTAGACTTCATTTGGTGAAGACAGTTCTAAGGATTAAAGGAAACAACGAAAGTAAGGTCTCTAAGAAGTTATTTTTTGCATTCTATGTGAATGCTAAGTTTCAAGAAACAAAAATAATATGTACAGTTGGCCCTCTGTATCTGTGGTTTCCCGTCCCTGGCTTCAACCCAAAGCAGTCGGGTCTGCTGTTGGTCGAATCTGTGGATGCGAAACCTGAGGATACTGAGTGCCAACTGCATTCATTTCACGGTGCCATTTGTGTCAGGAGTGTGAGCAGCTGGGCCTTTGGTCTCCATGGGGACTCCTAGAATCAATGACCAGGGGATGTGGAGGGCCCACTTCCCTGTGCTGTCTCGAGCTCTGCTTGAGGAAGCGAGAATTCAGTGCAAAGTCAGTATTTATGGTGATGCCGTAACACATTTCTGGATGTTCCTCCTTAACCTGAGCGACTGTACCCAGCTGTGGAGTTACTTAGGGCTTTATCTGTGGCATGCCTTTCCTCATCCTAGCTGTCTCCTTGGGGGACCACCTCTACTCCACTCGATTCAACATCATTCCACTTTCAAAGTTTGCTTCTTCCTGCTCTTTCATTTGCACTCCGCCTCTGCCTTTTTCTTCCTTTTTGCCTAAACAGTTCCTTTTTTTTTTTTTTGAACTTTACCTTCATTGCTGCTTCTTGAAGGAAGATTGCCTGATGCCATCCCTGACCAGGTTAGATTCCTAGAGTCCCTGCCTTAGGCACTGAGTAACTCTGTGGTGCGTCCATCTCATCTGCGGGATGGAGTGTTTTGAAGACAGAGGGTTCTTTGTTTCCTGTTATATAATACCCAGTTCGTTGTTGTTGTTCAGTCGCTAAGTTGTGTCAACTCTTTGCAACCCCGTGGATGGTAGCCCACCAGACTCCTCTGTCCATGAAATTCTCCAGGCAGGAATACTTCAGTGGGTTACCATTTCCTTCTCCAGCGGATCTTCCTGACCCAGGGAGTAAACCCATGCCTCCTGCTTAGCAGGCAGATTCTTTACCATGGAGCCATCGGGGAAGCACCATTGCCTGCTCAGTAATATTTTTTGGCTCATAATTGAGTAGATAAATCCTTTCCATTCTTAAAAAGTCATACATTCAT